ATCAGTCATAGATCTATTGCTGCACACTGGTCTTTGTTTTTCATTTTTGTTTTGTTGTTGTAGTTTTTTTGCCTATATAATATGTGCACTCACCAGAGGGGGGGGCAATAGAAATTACTCCCCTGTAGGGGATGGCCACACTATGACCTCTTCTCCTCTAGTCTCCTCTCAAGATTTGGGGTACACAGGCACATGCATAATTCTCAAGCCTCCAGGTCTAGGACTTGAACTACACAGCCGGCCATCTAGGATCCAGTGCCTTAACCTTCATGCCACCTGCTGGTCCATGTTTTGCCTTTTAAGTTTTTTTTTTAAGAGAGGTTTTTGCTATAGGGTGTGTGTGTTTGCCAGAAAGACAGAAAGCAAGAGATCCCCCCCTAGGGAGGTGGTCACACTACAATCTCTTTACTGCCATTCTCCTCTCAGGATCTTGGGCACACATGCACACGCGCCCAGCGTGAGTTTAAGCCACCAGGTCCGGGACTCAAACCACAGTCGACTATATGGGAGTCCAGCAACATAGCCATTATGCCAACTGCTGGTCCCAAGTTTATTTCTTCTATAAAAGATAGAGACAAGAGACAACACCTCAACAGGGTCTTCACACCACAGTATACTCCAGCTTCAGCCAGCCTCAGATGTTTGGTATTGAGTGCGCCGACGTATTCTGGGAGGTCTCTAGACACAAACCTGAACCCGTACCATATGGGTCAACTTTTCCCAATCCCCTAGACAGACTATAGATCTGTCACTAGTGGATTTTTTTTTCAAACACCAAAGACCCTCTGCTCAGACTTCACCCTCCTCCTCCCCATTCTAGCCAGGAGTCAGGATAAGCCAATCAGCAGCCATCTATATTTGAGTTCTGAGCAGCCCCATTCAGGGATTTCAACCACCAAAGACAGACTGCAGGTCACCTCCTTCTGCATTCCTCTGTTTGCTCAGATTTAACTCCAAAAAATAGGGAAAAAACCTATAATCTATCAGATGACTGGAAACCACTGCAGAGGCACAAGAAATATGAGAAACAAAGAAAATATCTATAATAGAAAAGAATAACTCCTCTTCCTCCGCAAAGAATACAAGAGAACTCATGAAAATGTCAGATAAAGAATTTAAAATATTCATAGTGGGACCAGCAGGTGGCATGGTGGTTAAAGGCACTGGGCATTCCCATATGGCTGACCACAGTTCACGTCCTGTACCTGGTGACTTGCTTTCTTGCTTTCTCTCTCCCTCTGTCTCTGTCTGGTCAAATTAAAATAAATGAATGAATAAATAAAATCAAATAATTATTTTTAAAAATTCATAGTGACAAAGCTAACAGAAATGCAAGAGAATAGAAACAAACTCCAGAAGATGCAGGAGAAAAGAGATACTGAGTTCCAGGAGGTGAGGAATTTCTTGCACAATCTGAAAGATGAGATACACATCATAAAAAAGAATCAAACGGAATCGTTAGAAATCAAGGCTGTAATTCAGGAAATCAAAACTTCCGTTGAAAGTATCAAAAGCAGATTAGATCATGCAGAAGATCGAATCTCAGGCGTAGAAGATAGAATCTTCGACCTAGAAAAATTCACCAAAAAGCCTGAGAAAATAACCCCCCAAATATTAGAATAACATACAAGTAATACTACATACCATTAAATGCCAAACATCTGGATCATCGGTATCCCAGAAGGTGAAGAAACTAAGTAAAGGCACTGATAATCTATTCCATGAAGAGAGACAGAGATAGATGGCTCAAATTCATGGGCCCCTGCTTTTGAAGTGATTCATTAAAATCAGACCACAGTAACAACACAGATGCAATAGAAGAGAGATTAATTACGTGAGTCTGAACTAGTGAAATAGAATTTTTTGACTTTAGGCTAAAACATTACTGATTTCCTTCGATGCTTTGATTTCCATATTTAAGGATTTTTGTCTTCTCTTGAACTGTTGATAGGTTCATCTACCTACTGTTTGAACTGAATCCTAACCTTCTCCCTGGCTTTAAGTTTTTTTTTTTTTAATGAATAATTTATTTAATTTTATTTATTCATTCATTTATTTTAATTTGACCAGAGAGAGAAAGGGAAAGTGAGAAGGTGGGGTTTTTTTTAAGAATTATTTATTTAATTACACTCATTGTTATACTTTTTTTTTAAATTTAATCAGAGAGAGACAGAGAGAGAAAGGGAAAGTGAGAAAGCAGGCCACCAGGTCTGGGAACTCAAACCATTGGTCAGCCATGTGGGAATCCAGTGCCTTTAACCACCACACCACCTGCCGGCCCTGGCCTGGCTTTAAGTTTTAAGCAAATTTCTGTTAAAATTTTTTTATTTTAATATAGTAAAACTAAAACTTGTTTTTGAAATAAAAAATACATTAAAAATTACCTATAAATATCCATTTAATGACTACAGTAAGCTATATAGCCCCAACGAGGTACTAGTTTATAGTGTCTTCACTTTACTCACTGAGGTTTATGCCTAAAGTCAGATATGCATTCATAAATATGTACATATCAGTTGTGCTTGCTTTAATTTAAATTAAATTAATTAAGATCTTTAGTGAATCAATGAAATGTGAAAAAAATGGCATGGGAAACTACTGTACATACCAGAGACAGTGTGGGAGAAGGGAAGGAATTGGCAGAGGGTGAGAGGTAGGGAATCAAGGTGGGGAAAGAAAGCAAAATATACAAGAAACAAGAAATAGAAAACTCTTTGTTGATGATAACAGGTACGGTAATATCCTTGATTGAGCCAATATACACTGTATACTGGATGGAAAATCTCATTTTATATACTGTATTGACATACAATGATTGACTGTAAATAAATAAAAAGAGTTGCTCTGTTTTGTTAAAAAAAAAAAAATCTGTCGCTAGCCTTTTTGTTTTGTTTTGTTTTGTTTCAGTTTTGCTATAGGGAGCATGTGCTTGCACACCAGAGAGAAAGAGAATGTGAAAGTGAGAAATAACCCCCGTGCCCCATAGTGGATGACTACACCATAATCCCTTCTCCAGTCTCCTTTCAGGATTTTGGGCACGCATGTACACTTGCCCAGTGTGTTTTTCAAGTGGCCAGCCCAGGATTCTGTACAGTCAGCCATGTGGGATTCAGCCACCTTAACCACCACAATACCAGCTGGCCCATAATAATAAATGTTATTTAGGGTTCTTCAAAAAGGCACTTGGGTGACAAATTGGGCATATGTGCTCGATTTCTGTGCTCTCCTATAGAGGCAACCATGGAATGTATGATCCAAAATTATCTCACCCAGAGCTCAAGGTCCCTCTGAACAAGCTCTAAAGTAAAGGGGTCATTTAGGGGCAGTTCTTGGGTGGTGGGATTTTTGATGTACCCTGCATCTCATTACAAAGCTGTTTGGGGATTAGATTTAGCTTAAAACCAATTCTCTCTGCTATGGCATCTTGGATGGTTCTCTAGCAAATAGCACACTGGCAGGGCTAATGGATTTAGAATTATGTTCCTAAATTCCTTTGTGATTAGTGAGCAGTGACAAAAAGAAGGCAAACTCTCCACATCCCTGTCTTTTCCACTTAACAAAACACTTTGAAGAGTGAGGAAGGCAAAGGGCAGTTGTGCTGCAGAGGCGTGATTCCAATAAATAAACTGGGTGAATGGAACAGGGGTTGGAAACAACTTGAAATGGATTCCCAGGCAGCTGCTGTGCGTTTGTTTTCCCCACTAGTCAGTCACCTGCCATTAGAGGAACTCATAAACATTATTAATAATTTTAAGGAACGGAAAGTGCTGCAGGTCAGTACCAGTAAAATACAAATAATTCAAGTATCAGTAATTCACTTCAAAGCTAGAAATGAGGGCTGGCCTCCTAGTCTAGTGATTAAAGCAACCAGATCCCACATAACCTTCTACAATTCAAATGCCAGCTCTGGCAATTTGAAAAACATTTCAGGCACATGTGTGTACACACCCCAAATCCTGACATGTTGGCAATATGGAGAAGGGATTGTGACATGCCTACACACCATTGGGCGATGCTTTCTCCCTCTCTGTCTCTCTCTGACAAGTGCATATATTCTCTGGAAACAGTAATAGTAATAATAAAGCTAGAAATGAAAATTAGACAGCCTGGGGGAGGGCAGCTTACCAATAGTCAAGTTTCTACAAATCCTATTCCTCTCTGCACTACCTTGAAGTGGGAGAAAGCAAAATCCCCAATGTGTGTGATTCTTCTCTTTTCTACAGTATCTTTCCCAACACCCCCACCCCTTATTTTAGAGTATTCCTTAGTAAATCTACCATTCTCTTTGTTAAATCTGGTAACTCTCTTTGTGAAACTCCACCTTGAATAGTGTGAAAAAGAAACTGAGATGGCACTCAGAAGGAAAAGTATATTGATTTTTTTTAGATTTTTTTTTCCATAGGGTATGTGTACTCACCAGAGAGAGAAAGTTGAGAAATCACACACACACCCTGGGAGAAGGCCATGCCACAATGCCAGTTCCTTCTCAGTATTTTGAACACACACACACGTGTGCACACTGATGTGATTTTCAAGCCACTGGATCCAGGATTCAAACTGTCTTTTAGGCCACATGGGATCCAGCCCCTTAACCACCACACCACCTGCTGTCCCTAGTCATCATCTTTTTGCCGGTGGATAGTATTGTTTTGATACTGACGGCTGCTTAGTGATCAGGGTGGTGGCTACTGAAGGTTGGGGTGGCTGTGGTGACTTTTTTCTTTTAGTTCATGATAGAGCATGTGCACTAGCATGTGAGAGAGATAGAGATTACCACCCTCCACAGGGTCTGGACACAATCCTCTTTTTCCAGTCCTCCAGCCCACCAGATCCCGGCCACTCCAGTTGCTGCGAGTATTTTGGGCTGACTAGACTGGGGACTTGAACTTAAGTCACATGTGGAATCCCGCTTCTTCTTTAAAAAAAAAAAAAAAAAAAAAAAATTACTTATTGGGACCAGCAAAGTGGCACGGTGGTTAGGGCGCTGAATGTTCCCACATGGCCAACCACAGTTAGAGTCCCCGACGTGGCTTGCTTTCTCACTTCGTAACTTGCTTCCTCCACGTCAGTAGCTGAACTCGAGGCCGTCAAGACCCCTATTTTGTTGGGTCGTCTGTTCCGTCCCCAGCACCTATCAACGCCTGACCAGCCGAGCTGCTCACCCGTACATGCCGAACCAAGGAAAAGCAGGCTTCAAGTCCGGGTTAGCGATACGCAGCTTGGTGACCTCCGCCGTCCACTGCAGGATCTGCGCCTGCGCTGCCGTACGTAAACAGCCCAGAAGGGGCTGTTCAGATCCCGCCCCGGGAAACGATTTGGACTCCCTCGCCCCAAACACGTTACCAAGAGCCATCACTGTCCGAACCACAACGACAAGAGTCCCAAGCACTGCTGCTCAGCGGCGGCCTCGGCGTGATCTGGATGCTCAAAGGCCCTCTCTGCGTTGGCACGCGCACATCCCTCCGGACGAACTACACCTCCCACAGTCCCCATCGGCCGAACCACCCCTGCGCGGAGTGGGGTGAGGGTGGCGCTGGCCACAGGGGTGGGACAGGGCTCCTGGCCGTACTGCCTGTGTGTTCTTGGCACAGCCTGTGTTCGCCGGAAGGGAAGATATCAGTCTCTCCCCGGTAAACGGGTCATCTGTCCCGCTCAGGTACGATTCTGCACTCTGCACCCCTTGGGGGGTCCCCTCAGTGCGCAACCGCAGATGGTGTAACCCAGAGGGGACTCCGGCCGAGGCCAGGAGACTGGAGGACAGGCCGCGCACGCATGCGCAGAGCGGCAGCATGGAGGCGAGCGCCGCGGAGTCCTTTCCCCGAGGCTGTGAGTGAAGGTGAGTGGGGGGCGGAGTGGGGCGTGTCGCGGGGCGGCACTGTTCCTCGCAGTGGCAGGCGCGGGGGACCCCCCCTCTCCACTCTCCGAGCCGTTGA